AATATACCACAAGAATGAATGTCAGGGTACATGTAGGTATGTGTACTCATGTTGAGAGAATTTTCCAGATCAGGAATGGTGTGGTCAGGCTGAGCGTTATCCTGTATTTGGTTGGCACAGTCGGGTTAAAAACGAAGTGCAATCTTTGTGGCCATATACAGCCATGTGGGTGGCAATATTTGTGTTGATCTTTACCATGTTTATCCCTGATTGTATTCAAAATACAATGAAAGAATCATGCAAGATTTCATTGCAAATAGTGCAAAAACATTTGGCTCCTTTATTTACAATTTCCCAGCTGGAATGTTGCCAAAATCCTGTCCCGTGTGGGGCATGAACAGGGAAACCATTGCCAGCTTGGCTGCACGCAATATGTTCTGTTCACTAGCATGGATTCCCACAGTGCGGAATCGCTCTATCGCTAATCTTCGAGGGATATGTGGAACTAGGCATATTCGCAAAAAGACTATATCATTTTTGACCGGGGGGGGTGAAAATACTTGGACATTACCATTTTTTGTGAGTTTAGATTTAGTTTAGTTTTGTTTCAGTTTTCTCATTCTTGTGGCCAAAGGCCAAATTACAGTGAAAAACACAGTTAAATTATATCTTAATCATTACAAAAGCAACATTCATCGACAAAAGTAACCATTACAATAAGAAAAAACACACTACAATACATTATCATCAAAACTGAGTTATTAAAACCGTGGAACACTTATTAAAAATTACTTAAAAAGAACAACACGCAAATAGCACAGAAAGAAACAGACATTCCTCATTATACTCCAAAAGTAAGGGAAACCCAGAAGGTCAGTGACCACGCATAAATACATGATGTATAATATAGAGTTTGCAGTCAAGTGCATCCCTATATGAGGTAAATCCATCGCCTGAAATTATGCGACATACTCGTCTTTGTAAGTTTTCTAATTGAGAAGACTGGGTACTGATCTACATACTGAAGGGGGCATTCCTTGATCTGAAGAGCAGGAGCCTCATGTTTGAAGCAAATCTGGAGGGCCTGACATTTGGTTGGATTTAGTTGAAGTTTGTTGTCAGTCCATTGACTAAATTGGTCAAGAATCTTCTGAAGTTGACTGTTATACAGATGAGAACAATTTTCCGCTAGTGTTAAGTCATCTACATATTTCCAACAATTTATATTATTAGGGACATTGACAGCAGCATTATTAATGGTAACCTGAAACCCAATAGGTCCCAGCTTAGTTTCTTGTGGGAGGCCACCAGTCAGTGTTTTGTACGTAGACCATGTCTGATTATGTTGAACACACAGTTGCTGAGAAAGTGGCACAACCAAGGGACAGTGGATCTTTGGACTCCCAAGTGAATGAACTTTTCAATCATTAGTCTGTGGTCCACCATGTCAAATGCTTTGGAAAAGTCCATCAAAACCATTGTGCCAACGTTGCCCACTTTGTCAGCACCTTGATGCAGGAAATGAAGCAGACTAACTAGAGTACTGATACCCTTAATATTATGAAATTGGTGAAGGTCTATCTTACTGCTATTGCCTTGCAGAACCCATCTAGTAATAAAACTCTCTGCAATTTTGGCAAAACCATCAGTAAAATGGGGCGCAGTTTATTGGCATCAGGTGGATTAGATTTTGGTATTGGTACTACTATGGCTTTCTTCCACTGTTGTGGGACTACACCCTCATTGTATGAAGAATTTAAAATGTCGCAAATAGGAGTGCTAGACTCATGAAACTCTTTGATGATTTTAGGAGAAATACCATCAGGGCCACTTGATTACCAGGTTTAACTTTCCTCAGCCTTGCGTAAACATGGATTAAGTTTTGAAGGGGGACAGTCAGCTGGTAAAATAGTTCCCAGCATGCCCAAATCAAGCGATGAAACGTGAGAGGACACCCAAATTAAAGTATCATTGATGAAATCAGCAATACCTGGGATGGATAAGATTAACTCAGGCGTGTCATTCCTTGTCATCAGGTGTATTTGTTGATGCCATTTTCTAGAGTCAGTCAACTGTAATCTGCACACTCTATTAGCATAATAATTGACCTTACACTTAGTTATTTCAGTTGTTACCTGGTTATGAAGGGTATGAATTTCTTAGTTTCACCTTTAAAAAATGCACTTTTACGAGACTTGATCAAGGATTTGATTTTTTGATCGATCCATGGTTTATCATGACCGTGAATTCTGATTGTTTTCTCTGGAAAGAATGAGTCAATTGCATTGCTTACAGAGAAAGTAGAAGGTATCTGCTTTCTCTTAGGTTGACTTTGCATCAGTAACATTATTCCAATTCTGGGATTGAATCTATCTCCCGAATTCCCCAAATAGGTCCTTTTTTATTGACAAGTTTGTGAATCTGATGGCTTGTAGGTTTCCAAACAATGCATGAATGGTCACTCTCTCCAATCAGGCTAATTACACAAGGATTATCATAAAAACAGTCAATATTTGGCATGACCAAATCCAGTGTTATTTCTTTTCAGGTAGGGAATGTAATTTGGTTGAGATTCTGAGAACAAGTAACTGGTCCTGAGAGAACAAGCCTTGGTGTTCATTCTATTAAAGTCTCTCAGTAGAACAAAACCAATATCGGGGTACTTTGTTGCCAACAAGCCCATGGACTCTTGCAGGTGAACTTCAAGTTTGTCCTGATGTGGTGAGTTCGGGGGGGTTATATACTCTATACACTGCGATGACAGGGATGAATTGAGGGAGTCACTTGGGTTTGACAAGGATCCACACATATTCCAACCCGTCAGGCTCTGTGCTATCAGCAAGTTGCCTTGTTTTGATGTCAGACTTTACATACAGTGTTACCCCTCCCCTCATGCCATTTCGGTTCTTGAAGAAGAGCTGGTAACCCTTGACTGTGGTCATGTTGTCAAGATCTTGGTTGAATCAAGTCTCAGAGACAATGCCAATATTGATTGATTCTTGGCAGAAAATGATTTCGAGTTCATCCAGTTTATTGACCTATGACTGGGCGTTAGTCAAGAAGAAGGATGGAAGGCCGCTGACATGATGGGTATTGGTTGGGCTTGAATTTACTGGAGCCCTAGGAGTGAGGGTTAAAACTCTGAATCGACTGTCACAATTATAGGGGTTCATGGAATGAATGATGGTTGCTTTTGTGGTAATGTGCACAATGATCCTCTTACGTCTGTTTTCCCTGCTCTGCCTCCATAGTGGGTATGTCTTCGAAACTTGAGCTCATTGATTCTATGACCAACTTGTGTGGATACAGTGTAGACTTCACCGTTATGTCTAATTTTGTGTAATGTATCATCGCTGTATGTGATTCTGCATCGGTCATGTTGATAACTACTTGGTAGGGAAGCATTGACTGGTGTCACGTCGAAGATTAACTGGCAAGCAAATAAATAGCATATCAGTATACGTAGGGAGTGGAAGAATGCTGTGAGATGTTGTGACTACTCTTGGGTTCCAAGGCAGGTATCCATCTAAATCCATGTGTCTTATTGGATGCTGACAGGTGATAGCCTAGATGAGCAGTTCTGGGCATACACATAGGCTTATCAGCACTTGAGTCAGTACTCTATATCCAGGTACGTAATGCTGATGATAACTTTTGGTCAGGATTCTTCGACACATCGTTGAATACTGTTAAATCTACTAGTGAGTCTGGGCCTGGAACCAAAAGGCATAAATAGCTGTGTTTTGTCCATTTGATTAGTAGTGTGGTGATAATAATACCTTCACGGAAGTGTGCAAATGCAAATGGGATGATTGCTTAACTTTAACTGGTTAACATTTTTGGGTTTGAAAATGCTCAAAACCTGTTTATGTTCGAGTTTCAAGTGTGGCTCCTCCAAGGGGTTCGCGGTACCACCCCTATTATAACATAATGGTAATGTTATTGCAATATCACCTGGACCTAACTTGGGAACCATCTGGAGTTTTTCAGATCAATAGGGCCTGAAAGTTGACCCCTGATGGCTTGCTTCCAGAACCCTTGGAAAGGAAAAATAATGTGCCGAGATTTTAGAATTTGTAATTTTTTTTGTTCGGTTACTTCTTAAAAAATCCAACTCAGAAAAAGTGCTTTGGAAAATAGTGTATCAATTTATAGAAACTGAAAAATCACCTGTTCTGGAAGACCAATATCTTGCCAAAAATTGACCCATCACTTCCAAAAATTTAAAATACATGAAGAACTGTGCAATGAGGCAGTCTCATATGCAGATGAACATTTACGGTTTGAAATTTTACGGTAGTCCGTTGGTAAAAGCCGTTATAAAACAGATCAAAATATTTCCCACAGTCTTATAATTAAAAAGTGATAAACTTAAAGCAATATTCTATGTCAATTATGAAAAATTCTAATCTTTTATGTAATCTTTGCCGACAACAACTGCGTGATGTCAACTCAACGGAATCTGGAACCCATCGACTGCAAGTAGGTGAATCTTTGCAATGTTGCACAGTCTTGTTTTCACGTAAGCACGGGCAGTGAAAACAAACGTGCATTAACATGGAGACCTAGGTACGATGTCGCTGGAAGTGAAAGGTCGTTGAGAAAATTCTCTTTTACCCATCTTTCCTAAATATTACTTTAGGAAGACAATGGTAAAATTCCAACATGAGTGTTTCATGGGATGGTTTTAGTTAGGAATTATTCTTCAAAAAATTATCGAACGTGATTGGACGGCCCAATTTAAAACCCCCACAGGAGGACTGCGTGAGGGTTCCAGAAGCTCATGGCATGACCTTTTACTTTCAGGCTCTATTGTAAATAATCAAAGTTTACCAAGCATGAGCAAACTACATATGTTATTAACTTTAAGGATTCATTCTTTCAACAATCTTGTTCTTTGAAATCAATGATACGGGTCCCTTCTGACAAACTTTAGGTGGGGCGTAACTGCGTTGCGGGCATAACATGTGGAAACCTCTGTGTTTGGCAAGTGGGAGAATACATGCGTGATGACATCTGGCGTGTGATGTTTTGTTTGCAAATTCTAAGCAAGAGCTGTTGAAGCATGGAAGAATCCATTTCCAACAAGGGGCATACACTTCTGTGTTACCGAACACCAAGGGCTGCGGACGCAGCAGAATGGCTGTGGAAACCACACTTGGCGTTCTGGCCAGAACTAACTATTTCTTTAGAACTGAAATAGAGCAGTGAATGGCAAGTTGAGAAAAAGTACATCAGGGTTGTAGTTTTCAAACCGTGGTGATGAAGTGAGCAATTATTTCTTGGTCTAAAAAAACCGAACACCTGTTTTGGATGTAACACATCCATTTGTGTATGGAAAATACATGTTACGTCCATACCCTCAAACAAAATAGGGGCTCACTTTTGAAGGAAGGGTAGTTAACATAAACTAGGAGTGAACTGTGAAGGGTTAATGTAGATGCAAACATGTAAAAAATATGACAATGTTTACAGTTACTTTCAACCCACTTTCTTCGTTTTTTAAATGCCCATTTATTTTGTCACCAAAAATCTGGTTTTACACATTAAACCGGATGCCACTTTTTGTTCCTTGCACTGTAAAAATGTTTCCACAAATATGAACAAAATGGTTCAACAACATACATGTACCTCTCCCTATGTGTTCCTTTAATGATGTAAATTTTACTGGCTAATTATTTGAGTAACCATGTGATATTCTTCAAAGTCGTCAGACCGTAGGCAAATAACCAGGTGTTGCCCAACTGTATGGAATAACCCTGTACTGTACTTCTGATAGTTAGTTCTGTGGTTTACACTTTTTGCTTATTGCGTAAAGTATCAGCAGTGCCAGTGGCAGAAATTGTTCTAAACACAGTACAAAAACTTGTTCCTGAATACTACTAGGAACAGTGACAAGTAAATAATATCCATGAGCAGTTTTGTGGGTATATCATGTTTAGAGTCTATAATTGATGTCAGACACATATGCACCACATTAGAATTCACAGTGGGTTAAGCAGCTCTGAATCATTATTCTTAACCTCAAAATAGTGCAATATACAGAGTCAGGTAAGGACCTTGATGTGTGTTTACATGTATGTAGTATGGATTTGTTGCTACAAATCAACCCATTAACATCAAGTCGTCAAGTTTGCTGGATGATAGAATTTTACTGAATTGTTTAGGAAATAAGAATAGGAATACATGCAGTTCAGTCATGCAGTGAAAGTTGGCCTCAGTGAATGTTCTATCAGTTTGAGTGGACAGCTGCAACATTACTCAAGAATTGTGTGCTGTAGTCATATGCATCATAAAAATGATGAGCTCATTTGACTTCATTTGGCTGAAGCAGCGCAAGCTTTTGCAAATAAAAGTCAGATAACGTCATATTCTGTGAGGGAACTCGGAATACAACATACTTGAAACTGTATTACAGTATATTTATTTGAAAAGTGACCCATAACAGTTTTCATCCCAGCTAAAATTGTGTGTGTGTTTTCCTTCCAACAAGGGTGGGTCTTGTTGAGTCTAAGATCAGGATTCTGGTTGGAAACCTTGAGAGAAACAGCTACATCAAGTTGGCTCATGCAAACCCTAAATCATTTGATCCCCAACAAATGGAGGAGAAGTAAGTACATTCTGTGGACATAGGCAAGTACATGTGCTTAGGCTGCTCCTATAACTTAAGGAAAAATTCTGTGCTTCATCCATTGAGTAGGGTCCTCAAGATTGTTTGACTCTTTGTAGAGCAAAAAACCCAGGATAATCTGATCCCTGGCTAGACTGGTTCACAAACATCAAATTATTCCTGGTATTCTATGCTTACAGTGCTCACAAGCACTGATACGTTTTTGTAATTTAGCAAAGGTGGGTAGGAATATGTGTGTTGGTAACAAGTAGCTCATTTACAACCCTCTAGTAGCCACAGCCTCTGAAGTGATATCCATGTATGTATTCTTTGTTCATGGAATACATATCTAGTAAACATTTAACCCTAAAAGAACTGGACCCTTGCCTTGTGACCGGTCATCCGGAATATTAACTTTTCCCATTAATGTTCTCAATGTAGGCAGGCTGACTTGCATAAATGGCTTGCGTCAGATTGAATTGATTTCATTCAGCCTGAAAAAGTTTTCAAATTTGAAATGCCGATTTGATCTTTTCAGATAAGCAATAACTGGTTGAATTTATTTACAGGACAGATGTTATTGCCTCCCTGTGGTTCATTGGTTTGGAGTTCCAGCAGACTGATTCCTCTACTAATGTAGACCTCACCTTTGACATCCAGAACTTTGTGGACACTGTCCACAGACAAGCGATTAGTATTGGTATGCTGAAGGATGGTATGAAGATAGAAGCCAACTATGTCAAGAGGTAGCTATGTGTATAATAATGTTTCATGTCAATCCAATGTTCAAGATGTCTTGCTGTTTTGGCCACCTCCTATATACTTTCCCAAATACCAAAGTCTCTTGATGATTTCTTCTGGTTTGGCATGGATGTGCTTGATGACTCATGAATTATTAATTCCGCATTTTGTTTTAAAGCATTATCTGAAGAATTGAGATTGTTAATGAATAAAAACCTCTAGTGCATTTTCAAAAAGTAAATTGTGACTTCTATTAAAGTGTAGGTAACATTTAACCCATTCCGCGTTTTGTCTTAAAGCATTATCTGAAGAATTGAGATTGTTAATGAATAAAAACCTCTAGTGCATTTTCAAAAAGTAAATTGTGACTTCTATTAAAGTGTAGGTAACATTTAACCCATTCCGCGTTTTGTTTTAAAGCATTATCTGAAGAATTGAGATTGTAAATGAGTAAAAACCCCTTGTGCATTTTCATGAAGTAAATTGTGACTTCTATTAAAAGTATGGGTAACATTTAATAGTTAGTTGACTGCTGTGATGTGGGATAGGACATCGGGAAACTTCAGGGACGTATCGCCACTCCCAAGGGTGTTCAAAACGTCATGTCCTACATGTACATCACAGCAGTCAACAATTGTTTTGTCATATTTCTGTCTTGGTGTTTTTAACTTTTTCGGCAAGTCTGCCGAAACTGCTGATGCTTTCCTCATTATTTTTTTATTTATTTTTGTAGTTCTTTTTCAACCATTTCCTTCCACCAGTCGACTTTGGCAGCTACTAAATCTGATCGACTTCAAACTTAGCACTTGTTTGGATAATCATCTAAGGATCACGTGATTTCTTTTTGAATTTTGAATTTTTTCTCATAGGGTTTGTACAAGTTTTTCTCCTACCAGTGGCAGTTTACTAAATCTGATAGGCTTCAGACTTGGTGGGCACTCAGACATTAATGCATGGATGATTTTACTAGCTAGGTCTTACCTGATTCAATTAATAGATGGAAAGCTAATTGTATGATTCTTTCTCAAGATTGATTTCTTTCTCAAGGTTGAAGTAGAGGTGCTACTTTTGCAATAATAAATGATTTTTTTTATTAATTACAAATAGGAGCATTTCATGCATCCACTCCCAGATATAAACTGTTTGGTTTTTAGATTACTCGAGATACATACATGTATTTCACAGTTTGTAAATATGATTCTTTATTATACAGGAAACAGTTGTCACAATTCCTGCCCAACACAGTCCTCAAATTCAAGAAGAAATCTTTGCAGAGCCAGGATTCTCCTAGTAACACAGCACCAGCAGACCTTCAGCAGAAAGACAGAACAGATTCCCTCACACCACATCATAAGACAGCCCGCACAATCGTCAAACCAGACCACATGACAGAGGAGGAGTTCCTCTATGGTGTAGTCAGTGACAACCATTCAAGAACACATCTAACCAAATCTGCTAGTAGTCCAGCTCTTATTAGAGGGCAGTCATCCGTACAAGTACAGAATGAACTAGAAGTAACAGGGAGCAGTAGTGACACCTGTGTGGGAAATAGCAATGGCCAGCCAGTAGATACACAGCTGTCAGGTGCATCAACTGCATCCAGTGACCAGTCTCAGGTACATGTAAGCATTTAAATAACACCAGGCATCTGGTATTTGTTGGGAGTCTGGCATTTTCAAATTTGGGGAAAAAGTCCCCAGCCTTGGCTATTTGTGGGTTGGAACAACAATATTTTTAACAAGGGAACTTTCATATTGCACCAAAAACTCGCAGAAAATACTGCTTTCCAATTGCCGATGTGCTGTAACATATGTGAAACAAGTTAATTTACACATAGAGTCGGATACTGTATAACCAGTGTCCTTTGAAATAGTTGTATACAGAATTGTAGTTTGTGCAGAGCTGGCTTCATCAGTTCCCATGCAAACTCAGAGAGCCAAAGTAGGGGACCTGCTGTGCTCATGCATCAAATGGTTTCGTGAGCGTGTGCATGCAGTATGTAAACTAGTAGAATAACAACAGTGGGCATTGTTTCATGTGTCACAGTCGGAGAGTGTGTAGAGTTGTGACTTCTAAATGTGTCAGAATGGAAGTTGAAAGTAATGAAAATGTAACGCTAACATGTGAAAAATGAATTCAGCTGACACTGGCTAGAATCAGAAAACAGTGATGGACGTTTTGTTTTGGACTAGTGTTATATACGCTTTACAGAAGATCAGTGCATCATGTGCTGTCAGATTGTACATATCTTTTTGGCGGTAAGCCATTGTTAGCCACACAAGAAAACCAACACAAGTGTCCATACTTTTGTAAGCCAAGTAAAGGCCAGAGTCTTTCAAAAGTGCAGTTTAGATTATCAGAAAATGCAGTGTAGGGACAGGATACTGACGTGGTTTATGCCATTAGTGTCCAGCTCTTTTTAGGCAGATCTCATGCACACTCATGTGATTTGTCACAAAAGACAACCACTGCTATCCTTCTTTAATGTTTTAAAGATATGTCGTAATAATATTGCTTACTTCATGCAAACAAACTCTTTAAGCATCCAAGTGTTAATACATACATGCACCAGCTTAATTTCATTAATCCTTACTGCCATCATTGTAATGACTAACCCAGTAGACACAGTACCTTGTAATCTGATAAGCTGTCTGTTTACAGGAACCTATGAAGTGTCTGGCACACCTGACTGCAAACCATTTGTTAGCTTCTCTGAACCATTGGCTACTTCCCATTCGACCATTTAAAGGGTTTACCATTTATGAAGCATCAGATGGTTGTGAACCATTTGTTTTTTGGACCTTGCATCTATACTCTGTCTTTACCATTTAAAGTGGTAAATGGAATTGTTCATAAATATTGATGTGGCAGCCATCAAAATGTGATTGAATTTGGCAACCAAAATAATTTAAACAGAAAGGAGGTTATGATTCATGACACTTTGTATGAAATTTATCTTGATGAAGCCGCTAGTTGGTTGGAGAAGGTTTCAGGAACAAAAAACTTGGCATTATCTGTTCGTTGAGCTGAAAGCAGGTATGCAAATTTTCCTCAGATCAGCTGATTTCCTCATTTGTCACTTCACACTCATGCTAATGCAAATTGAAACACATTGTACAAAGTCTCGTAGAGATGGGAATTTCGTTGTTTTTTGTTAAAAGTATAAGGATATCTGGCTATGTTTATAGCATAGAGCCTTTCAGATGGTACATGTAAGTGGCCCATTTCTTCAGAATTACCCCCAGTATTAAATGATACAAGAAGATTCCACAAGAAGACTTTGCTTGTAGCATTCTACCATACAGGCACAAGCATGTAGCTATACTGACTCTCATTGATCAATATATACCAGGTAATGCTAGTCCAAGCTTGCAATTGATTTGAACTATTGAATGAGTTTTTCTTTTGTGAAGGCTCTGTCCACTTCAGAATTATCACAAAATAAAAAAATTCAGAGACTATAAAGGTGCAGAAATAATGCATATATTTAACTCAAATATACTAATGGAATTAATGTTTAAACTTCATGTTGCACTGTGATTTTCAGGAAAACTCAGATGGACCCTTGGTTTTGAGCAGTAGCCATAACAAAGGAAAGATAAGTCCCTCAGTAGATGATGGCACACTCTTCAAGGAACCGTTGTCTCCAGAATCATCTCAAGCATCGATAAATGCAAGCAAAAGTTTTGTAAGTGTTATATTCTTTCATCAATTGGATTGGTTGAAATGTCTGCACCAAATAGCATTTAACACATGTTCCTTGTACAACTGTCTACATTCTGTGAATATATGGGTACCATTCATCTCACAAGATTTACTCTTATGTCAAATGCCAAATTATTACAACCCTGAATGGTGCATGTTAGCTGTAGAGACCTATTTGAAATCTCCCTGTGAGCCTTTGCATGTAGGTCTTCTTTCATGCCAGTTGCTAATGGCTGTAAAAAAATATATCCCGTCGGTAATGGGGAAAGGCATATATTGCACTAACCGTAATTTTTGGCACACAGGCCGCATGGCATTTAAGCTGCTCCAAATTGAGATCCTCAGCCTGCTTTTCAGCTAGTATTCTCAGCCCACGCTCGAGCGAACACAGTGAAAGAAGGCATACTCCGGCTCTTGTATATATGATGATTGCCTTTGTGTGTAGCCCAGAAATGAAAAGACCGAATTTGCATCATAATCATCAGCTTCACAACAGTCCCCACTTTGAAAAGAGGCAATGGGAATGTGGAAGCGTGAGTAGAGCTACATGCCACCGAACAATCACCTTTTCACTGTGTAATTCAAAGCGTGCAGAGTACGCGGGGCCACAAACCGAGAATTTGCAGTTTGGCAGGTGGCCTTTGTGGCCAAGCAAGGCTGGAATTCTTAGAGTCAGCTTTCGGAAAGAAATTCCCGTCATCACAGTGTTAAAATTTAAAGCAGCCTTGAAAACATTCTTGTTTTCAGACCTGTGGTAAATACTTTTCAAGTATCTATATTTGTTAGGACCTTTTCAATAACTGTTATAATGTATTTGATGTATTCTACTTTGTGTTTTGTGCCTCAAGCATCACTTGTGACGGATTTCAGCACATTATAAATTCTCATTATTCATTCATTATTATTAACCACTTCCTGCCGGGGCAGTTATCAATGTTGATGATGCTGGGCCGTGATATTTATCATTTTTTTCCGTTTTCAGAATTCTTTAAAAAATCCTATCTTCATTTACTGGACACTTACAAACACGTGAAGGACTGTCTGGTGCCACTCTAGCCTGACAGAGAAATCTATTGATGCCTGAGTACATGTATTTCAGCCAGGCCTGCAGCCTTGTAAAAAGAGCCCAGATTTTATGGCGTTACGTAATATTCTTTTGTTCACGAACCTGGCTCAGTGCACTGCTGACCTCTTTTCAATAGGGGCCAGATTAGTATGCAGCAGTGCTGTGTGGCTCATCACTGTGGTGGTGGAGCGCTTTTGTCCCCGGTGGTAATCCGCTCGCTCTAAATGCCCCAAACGGTGGTATACTGTTTCAAAACAAGGCTGGATTATCTCCACTTTTGAGAGTGAAAAAATGTTGGTAATTCCCAGCAGCCTGGTCTTTTGTTCCGAGTATGGTCTTTTGTTACAAGTCCCTGTTCCCTTTGTCCGAGTTCTGAGACCCCGGCCACGCTTATAAAGCATACGTGTCCGGATCCGGAATCCCCGGCAGGAAGTGGTAAATGTAAAATGCTCCTTAATTTCTCATTTTTGATTCTAACAGTCTCGAATGCTATAAAGGACTACCTAGTAGTAGAATGTAGTACTCAGCCCTGTCGCTTGTAAGAGGACATGGCATTATTATTCTCTGAAGCCATAAAATACAATAGAGAAGACTATGTACCATACAGTGCTGTGGCACTATGAATGCATGGTTTCATTGTTCTCAGTACGAGTAACAATGGAATAAACCTATCCAGAAATAGTAATTTGTAGTACTGGCTCCTTCAGGCTCAGAGTGTTACATAGTATTTTGTAGTACTGAATACTCTTAAGCCAAACAACGCCCGGTACTGTTGGGGTTAATAAAGGTGTGTTTAAGAAAAACAGGACTCTAAAATATTGTACATTGCTAATAGGAAATGCATTTACATGTACATGTATTCATCTTATATGTTGACTCGGATCAAGAGGACGAGCCAAAGCTGACCTTCTTAGATGTCCTCAGGAATGAATCTGGAGTGAAGACTACTGAAGAGCTTACTGCTTGTTTTGAAAACAGGAGTAATTGGCAAACCGGGTGACGATCTTGTCTGTGGATAACCTATGTGTAACCAGAATTTATTTCTGCTACAATAGGAAGCATCACTAGATTCCATTGATAGCACAACTGACTCAGGGAGAGGTACACCAGAGGAGGGAAGTGGTAGTATCAAAAGACCATCGTCTCCTGAACCTTCACCAATTCAATCACCACCCAAGAGAGCCAAAGCTGATAATCAACCAGAAGATACCCTGTTGACAACTACAGCAGACCATTCTTTACAAGTAAGAGCTGTTAGTTGGCAATTGAACGAGTGTCAGTTCTATACTGCCTTATAGAGGGTCGATACGGAAGTCCAAGGGTATATGTTGTGCATGTGCTGAGCCAGCTTTTGTTTGTGTTAAATGTCATTCAAGAGGAAGTGCTTGTTTTTTCCTTCTTTTGTAATCTATCAATTTTTAGGTTTTTATTGACCTGGCTTCTAGGGGTCCCCAGGTTAATAAATTTATAGCCCGTGTGGAAATGAACATCATTGATTTGGGCTATAGCTACCTTATTTACAGAATACTTGATTCATACATGGTCATAGCCACAGTAACACCGGTATGCATTAACCCCTTCGCACTGGGAAGCGGTAAGTGCCGCCATAAAACTTGAGATCCCACAGCCCGCTTTTCAGCTATTATTCTTGGCCCACGCTCGAGCGAACACGGTGAAAGAAGGCATACCCTGGCTCTTGTATATATGGTGATTGGCCTTTGTGTGTTGCCAAGAATTGAAAAGGCCGAATTTGCATCATAATCACCAGCTTCACAATAGTCCCTACTTTAAAAAGAGACAACGGGCATGTGGAAGCATGAATAGAGCCGCATGCCACTGAACAATGAGCCTTTTCACTGCGTAAATCAAAGCATGCAGAGCACGCAGGGCCACAAACCGAGTTTTGCGGTTTAGCAGGTGGCCTTTGTGGCCAAGCGAGGCTGGAATTCTCGGAGTCGGCTTTCAGAAAAAAGTCCCGGCGTCAAGGGGTTAAGGCAGAAGATCAAAAGGTTTGTTAGAATGTGATGCACTTTGCAAAAACAAAAATTGAACATTTGCCTTTTGGAAAGTCTGCATATTAAAAGTACTAGCTGAAAGAGACAGATGTTGAAATGGAGAAACAATTTGTCAGACATTTTCCCCAAGTCAAGCATTCGCAGTATACAAAGCGAAAACAAACAATTCAAAGGCCCCTCAAACCAAATTAGCAATTCAAAGGCCCTCCAAGCAAATCACCAAATCCAAGGCCCTCAAAGCAAATCACAAAATCAAAGGCCTTCAAACCAAATTACCAAATCAAAAGCCCTCAAAGCAAATTACCAAATCTAAGGCCCTGAAACCAAATTTCAGCAAATCAAAGACCCTTAAAACTGCCATTTGATTCTTTCAGCGAAATGGCCAACAAAGTGGAAAGACGGATAGTTTGCAACCTATGACTTTAGATATACGACAGGTAAGACCGAGCACTTATCATTGACGTTTAATTGTTTAAAGCCAGCCTCAGAGTAAAGCTTTTTCCTTTATATATACCAAATATTCTTGTGAAGAGTTGCAGAATGGAATATGCCAGTAAGGTTCCAGATCATGTGAAGCATGATGTACTGCACTATGTCTAAGATAGCTCTGAAGATTAGTTTGAATTACAGGTCAGTTGGGAGATAAATGCTTTGATTGGTGAAGTATTTGTCAACAACATGGACTGCAGACATGCAAAATGCCCGTTAGGAATTATTCTCTCATGCTGCAAAAGCACTCATGCCTTGAGTTTTGTCTGGATGAGTACTAACCTTGACCAAGGCGTCGGGCAACTCTAGGCTACTGTGAACCTACAGTGCGTGCACCCATTCACGACAGTCTAGCCTGCACACAGCGTGTGTGAACGTGCATGCTTTTTGCATGTGTTGTTCTTTGCGAATATTCACTATGCGCACATGTGTACATGCCCTGAGCTCTAGTCCATAATCCAACACCTTGATGGTCTTGTCCCAAGCCAGTGAAAATTGTTACAGAAATGAGCATACAACCCACTATGGAAGCTGCATTCTAGTGTTCTGTGGCTGACATTGGCCATGTATAATAAAGAGATAAGTGTATCATCTGCAAGGGGAGCCAGCAATGATGGACTGTAATCGTGGGTGAAAGTCTCCGAATTCTCAGTTTGTACTGTATTGAGGGCTCCCACAAATTCTTCATCCATATTTTGTCATGATTTGGTCCCCATTGCCCACAAAAATTGATTGAAATACCTGGAAGCATAATAAGTCAAAAAAGTTACAAGCGTGTGTCCTTGTAATTGTTTTGTGACTGGACACCATGTTACTATGATGTACATAATATCACGTTACTCAAGAGCTCGTGATTGGCTCACTAAAATGAATCATTCATATTTTTGAATGTATGTTTTATGTGTTTGGCTTTAAATACATTATTTGTATTCATACACAGCATGCCATAATATCCTGAGGCTCCCCTAAAATCATCCAAAACTGGACACAAAAATAAAGACATCAAAACCTGGAAGTTACAGATACTTGTACAAGGCGGTCTTTCTTCTTTACAATTCATGCATGACATGTACATGCACACATGCGTGTACTGGTATATGTACATGAATACATTGCATTATGTACACTGTGGTGTACATGTACGCTGTGTCGGAACACATGTACATAGCTTGCTCCATGGGCTTGTCGCAATAACATGGCTTGTTTGCCCTGGGTCCCGTGCACGAGGCCCGATAATTTCCCCTCGACAAAAAGGCGCCCAGACTGCCTTGGACAAGGCTAGATGAGTACATAATTATGCACTTTAATCTCCCTCACTGTTGACGAAGGAGAGGCTAGACTTAATTGCACTTACCGTTTTATGTGTAGAACATATGAAAGACCCTACAGACTGGCCAAATTAATCATATGAAGCAAACTATGTGACAGAGAGAAACCCCACCCCAGCCTTTGTGTTGGCCATTGTTATACTGGTATTTCAGGAATTCTTTTCAGACATCAAGGGGGGGTGTGTTAAGTGACATAAGGCTGGAGTGTGTATAGGGATTGGACTTGTTGGGGAGTACCCCTTTGTCCCATTTTGTGCCTAGCATAAAATTAATTGTGTGTACTCCCTATGTGTCAATGTACATGTATGGGCAAGATGCAAATGCACCAGTGTTACAATGGCCTCAAGGGATATTCTTGTTCATAGGCAACAGAATTTTCTTTTTGTTTGCTCACAAAGCCCTTAGTGAGGACATTGGGCTGGAATTCTTTGCAGTGTACAACATGAGTGTACTGAGAAATGTGACTTGACTCTTGAGTCTGTGGTACTCAAGAACTGTTTCATTTCATTTAAAACCAGGTAATGTACATGTAATACTTAACTTAAGATTTGCTTTTTTAAAGAGTGTGTCACAAATTGCATGTACATGTACCCATGTCGGGAATACATGTATGACTATATTTGTGTGTAAATGAAGCCAGTGCCTGTCTATGGTATTTCTTTTTTTATTTCTTCAGCGTCTGCCCAGTGGTGAATTGCCTGACATGTCGTCACCTATGCCTACACAAGTCACTCTGGTCAAGAATTCCATAAAGCTTAACCTCAAGTGAACAGTTTCTTTATTTTTGTATCCTTTCTGTTCAAGATGTAGTTTTTGGAAAGCTTAGTACTCTTGTGCTTGTTGTGTAGATGAGTGATTTGTCCCAAGCAGGGATGCTTTTATTGTGATGCGTTTATGTATGAAAATGTTGTGTTCCTGTCAGTTTTTAGATATTACCTTGTGGGTATAAGCGACTGTACATTTGCCAGTGCAGTGCCTATTCGCTAGAGATGTTCTCACCTTATTGGTAACATGATAGGATCATGGCAGAAGACACTCTTCATGGATGATAGTTGCTTCATTAAATGAATGATGAATTAAGGAAATCTCACACCTCATGTGGAGAGGATACTTTCAAGGATACTTGAATTACTAAGGGGGTATCATGCAATGATTTCAAATCCAAGAGTGACCCCTTTTTTTTTTAAACAAGAATGCTGTTCTCAAATGTTTAAGTGCTTTTTCCTTAAAGTTGGCGCAAAAATTTCATGAAATAAGAGAACAGATACACATGTTGGACTTTGTTGCAGTTGGACTTAAATTCAACTAGTTTAGTTTGGTGATGGGGTGAGTTCTTTAGAATATTCAAAGCGAGGGATGTTTTGAGTTCTTGTCTTTGAGGGACAAGATACAATATTGGGGTATTAAGTGCTTCATTTGTAAATAATTCTACGACTTTAAAGTGAACATCCATTTGTTAGCATAGATTCACTTTGTGTTTACTGTTTATTTGGCAATTACTTGTTTAAATAGATTGCAACATTTCCTTTGCTCTTTCTCTGCATATTGAACCACGGGAATCTATGTACATGTATAATTATCAGAGCTGATGTTTATTTTCTATCAGGTTGCCTTGTAGGTTTATATTTGAATAATTCAGTGCTAAACATGTGGGTGGGTGCTTGTTTTGGTTATTCCCATGCAACTGTTTCTGTTGGTGGCACAGTTTTTGCCTGGTTACTTTTTGACACATCTCTGAAACAATTGCAAAAACAATTGATTTATGTGTTAATAGGTGCACATACATGTACATGGGAATGGGTCTGTCATTTGAGTGGAAGGACATTAAAATCTACCTTGTTTACATGTAATTTCTGTTACTTTTTGATGTTTGATCCAGGAAGTGTATTTAGTTGTTGCTAGATGTAGTCATCTAGATGTAGTCATCTAGATGTAGTCATCTACTGCAGGTTTACTGAATAATCATAAAGTCATCTGCTAAGTTAAGCAGATGTAAATCATTGCTTTGAACATTTGAGTATTAACGTGTGTGTACATATATTTAGTGTACATTGTAATAAATGTTACTTGTATAGGAGTATTTGATATTAAAAGGATTAAACACCACATATGATGTTGTATTTAATCTTTTTTCTTTTGAGAGTTAGGAATTTTGGTATTCAAACAGCCCTTGCCTCAAATGAAGCGTATCTGAGGTCATTTGGGAACAGCAATACATGCGGGAAGCCTCCCAGCATGGTCATGCTCCCACTCGCACAGTACTCTGTTGCTACATGACCTTGCCTTTTTGAAATACCCAACTGGCTCATTGTATGATGTTGCATTTACAAGTACTAGGGTGTCCTGCCGAAAATTCAAGGAGGAATAGGGTCGGTGAATTTATTCAACTTTGGATTTTTCACATCAATTGGGGAACATGTTGTTCTGTTCATTTTCCACACAATAACTTTTTTTTTTAAAAAATGCTGATGATGGGGATGAAACCGTCTCTATCTGAACCTTGCTCCAAAGAAATGTTCATAACAGTATTTTATTGCTGTTGCTATCATGGTATTTGAAAAAACCATTAAGAAATATGTGTAACCAAGAATTGAAAAAAAAAGGTGGGGGTGCAGGGAGGAGTGTGTTTGAAAGTGCAGAGATGCATCGTAATGTAATTATTAACAGCCACGGTGTTGGCCTGTTTTACAAACATGCATTGCAGGTTGCTGGACCTTTTTGTCCAACATAGTACATGTAGTTTGGTGTGACATGTTCTTAGCTGGAGTCATCACAGTGGCTCCTGCTGCATGCAAAGAGCTGATATGGACAACCTTGTGACGGTTGGGTTGAAAATCTGATAAGACAGAAGGGCCTTCAACTGATGAACTGAAAGTTTGCTGGTCTGCAGAGAATTTAAATTTCAACTACCCTCTCCACTGCCAATCCAAGGGGGTAAGTGCCTGTGGGCAAAGCAATGGTTATAGGGTCGAGACATAAAGCTGTCTTTCAGCCTCTGCAGATAAAAGCTGGGTTACCATCCCTGACACAGTTTCAAGGCTCTAAACAGTCATATAGCCGAGAACCATATCCAACAGACAAGACGACATTTTGTAATGTACTAAATAGAGCCTGAAAGTTGATCCCTGATGGCGCACTTCCGGAACCCTTGGATAGAAAAAAATCACGTGCAGAGATTTTAGAATTTGTAATATTTTGGTCATTCAGTTTCTTCTTAAAAAATCAAATTCGGAAAAGGGGCTTTGGAAAATATTTGCTAGTATATCAATTTATAGAAACTGAAAAATTACCTGAACATGAACAACAGTGCAATGAGACAGTCTTGTATGCAGATGAACATTTGCGATTTGAAAGTTTACGGTAGTCCATCGGTAAAGCCGAAATAAAAAACAAATCAAAATATTTACATAGTCTTATAATTTATAAGTAATAAACTGAAAGCAACATTCTCCTTCAATTACGAAAGATTCTAATCTTTCATCTAACCTTTGCTGACAACAACTGTGTGATGTCAACTCAACGGAATCTGGAACCCATCGACTGCAAATAGGTAAATCTTTGCAACATTGTACAATCTCATTTTCACGTAAGCACGGGCAGTGAAAACAAATGTGAATGAACATGGAGACCTAGGTATGATATCGCTGGAAGTGAAAGGTCGTTCAGAAAATTTGTTTTTTACCCATCTGCAGGTGACTTTTCCTATATATTACTTGCGGAAGACAAAGGCAAAATTTCAACATGAGTGTTTCATGGGATGGTTTCAGTTGGGAATTATTCTTCAAAAAATTATGGAACGTGATAGGATGGCCCCATGTAAAACCCCCACAGGAGGACTGCGTGAGGGTTCCAGAAGCTCATGGCATGACCTTTTACTTTCAGGCTCTATTGCAGTACAGGTACAGTCACTGCCCAATCGTTATGACACAATCCACACATACCTAATAGTTTGGCTTATGATTGTTCTGTTGCACTGTTAGAGGGATTGTTTGTGAATGGAGCACTACTTCAGCACACCTCACATCAAATATAAGAGCAAGTTTGTCGACCTTCAGTATGTATTTAGGTTTCATTTGTAACACATATACACACATATATCTTGCATAATAAATTGGACATTATCAAATTTATACACATATTCATACAAAACTCTGAATATAAATGGTAGCAAAAACTGATAAAAAAATTTATTATACAAGGTTGCTGCATAAGATCAAAGTCAACATATATACACAGCGCATGTGTCCAAAATCATTAAAGTCACTTCTTTAGCCACTTGTCACCAGATGACATGTAAACACAAATAATTTTCCTTATTTGTTCCACAGAAGGCAAAGTACACTCATTTAAGAATTTTATTTTTTATTTCTGCAGTTGACATTTTAATGTGTTTTGCTTAGTTGGATGTAAGTGTGAAATACGATCCTACATGCTGACACTGCTACTACAAATGAACAAAGGAATTAAAGACCTTTGAGTAAACTGATTGCTAGAGAGTGCAACCATACAAAGGAGTTACGGGTACAAAAATCCTAACTAGTAATTCCTTTGTTTCAAAACAACTGGCAAAAAAAACAAACATGGCCACGGGTGATGAAAATGCGCTCTGAGACTTTTGCATGCAATCCGGTTGACATCTGTATGTGCCACAATTTTTACCTGAGCAGTTGAAAAACAGCTCAGCATAAGAACTCAGGAGGGAAAAGAATGAAAATACTGATGCCTAAATTCAAGAGTTGTGCCCCTTAACATATTTTATGGGCACTAGAAATAAATCACAAGGTTGAAGAATGTGCCAAAAAAAAAGAAAAAGAAAGAAGAAAACCTGTCATTAACTAGCATTTAACATTTAAGTATGATGTCAAGTCTTTTGCAATGGCTATCTTTCCAAGTGAATGTACTGCAAACTCCTTCCCCACATGGAGTGGGTCTGGTCTCCTAGTGACAGTTACCCCTGCCCAGGCTACATATGCAAATTTCCCATGTGCCTATTACAATAACATATGCAGAGTGGCACCGTACCCTTGAGGTGGGTCGGCGACGGGAGTGTAATAACTAGGAGAACATAAGACAGGCGTCGCAAGAGTGGACACTCACCCAGCAACCCTACTAATTCTAGCTGTCAACTGCCTTGTTCAGAGCAGCGCTGGATGTTCGCTGGACTGCCGAGTGCAGGGTCGCTCTGCCATGGACCGTTTTGCTCCGCAGAACATCCTTCAGGTACCATTCGGTGAAGGTGAAGGGAGATTTCCAACAAGCCATTTGGCAGATTTCAACAAGAGGAACCCTCTGAAGTATGACCAAGATGTAGAGGCGCCGCGAATATCGTGGGCCCTGACGTAATTAAGCCTGAGTCATCTCATCATGATATGCCGGCCAGTCTTGAATAGCGAAGATGATGGCCAAGACCGTCCATCGGGCAATAACGTCCTTAGACGCTGGGTGAAAGAGTTTCGTCATGGTGACAAAAAGTTGGGAATCAGATTCCCGGCGACGTTTGGTTCTGGCAAGATACCACTTGAGAGTCCGAACCAGACACCATTTCTTGTCAGTGTCGTCTCCTGCAAGTGAGGTATATTGGGAACGAATATGTCGGGGGGTCGAAAAGTAGGCTGCTGGTTTTTAGACAAGAACCCAATGGTTGGGATGAGATGAATCCTGTGATGCTTCCAGCGGATGTGACCATCAGTAGGGCATGTAGCTTGCTACCTCATCTTGATGTGAAGACCACAAAAAAGAAAGCCAGCTTGATGCTGAGATGGAGGTCAGACACATCAGCCAACAGATCGATGGGGGACCTGCAAGAACACGTAGAACGTTTCCGAGATCCCCGGATAAGAAGAGGCATTTCACGTGGGGATGCTTGACAAACATTCCTCAAAGAAGATGGTGGACTGCAGTATTGTCAAAGAGAGTCGCCCCATTGGTAAAGCCTGAGTGAGCAACTGATAGTTGCGGATGGTGGCAACCTGGAGACCTGAGTGGAACAGGTACATGAGGAAGTCCGTGACCGAGCTCACAGGAGCTTCAGTCAGAGAAACATTGTGGTCGTCACACTGTCTAGTAAAATAATGTAGGCGGTTGTTGTAAATCTTGCAAGTGGACAGTTATCGACCACTGGCTGCCGTGGATGCAGCATCTGCAGAAAGGCCCAACGCTCTCAAGGATCATTGGACAACGTCCAGCACGTCAAGAGAAGACCCTCCGATACTGGGTGGAGGATCCCCGACTTGGGCTGATGGAGGATGTCCTCCCTGGCTGGGAGGATCAACAAACGTCATACAAGGAGTCTTGTCAGTCTTGAAAACCACGGTTACCAAGGCCAGAACAGGGCGACGAGAAGGATCCAACATGGCTCCTGTTCTATTTTGGACAGGACCCACGGGATGAGGGAGATAGGAGGAAAGGTGTACACCAGAAGGCCTGACCAGTCAATCTGTAGGGCCCGTGGGTGAGAGAACCTGGAGCAGAACGTCCGGAGATGGGCATTGTCGGTGGATGTGATATGAAGATGCTTGATCTCTACGAAGATCTGGCTGACCACGTTTGGATGAAGAGTCCACTCCGTCGGTCTGACGGCACCCTGAGAGAGTGCGTCTGCAATGTAGTTGCTGGTTCGACTTGGAGGGTGATGCCTTGATGTCCACATGAAGAGCTGCCACGCAAGGTAGCAGAGTTGGCGAGAGCGAGTGCCACCCTGATGATTGATGTCGCGGAGTTGTTGCTCTAGACTCGAACAGAATGACTTACTAGGTGTTGTCGAAAGTGGCGAAGAGCGTTGAACACCACTTGAAGTTCCAACATCTTGATGTGTTTGTCCTCAGAGTGTGTCGCAGACCCCAGAGGCATGGAGTGGAGGAAGAGTGCCTCCCCATCCGAATAGCAACACATCCATCGTCACAGTTGCAACGGACCTTGAACTCGTGCCCCAAAAGCAATGTGGGGCGTGGCCAGGCTGAGCGGAAGAATATATGGAGAGTCTGGAATTATTAGACGAAAGGAGCATGTAAAATTCATGACGGTGTGAAGTTCAGTGAATTAGGACGCCCGAGACGTGGATACTGAATTGAATGGCGTGATCACCGGTCAAAGATAGAGGGGAGCCTGTCTGGAGATCGTGGTTGATTTTACATGCCCAAGTGCCTCCGATGACGAAGTTTCAGACATTGGAGGGCTCGATAGGTTTGCGGGTAGGGTGATGACATCCACCGCACACATTATGAGCAGAAGACCGATGGTCAGAATAAAACACACATGGCTGGCTGATTGTATCGCGCTGCTTTATTCACCGGGACAGCTCAATAAAATGGTGGAGCGACACCTGGAGAGCACATTTCTCTGTTTTACATCATCATTCCGGGTGCTAGCCGACGGTCTGAGGCGTATTGTAGCGATAGGCCTATGAGCAACTGTTCGAGCTGCGGTCAGCATTTAGTATGCGCGACCCAGCCTCACATTCACCAGGAACCATATGAGCAAATGACCTAAGGCGGCCCGGTAGAGTGTACATGTAGTTCCCGCACACTAGACAGATCGGGGTAGAGGCATAGGCCTGAATGGGAAATGTTACCAGCTGTATCTAATACAAAAAGCAGACGCCCCCAGGCATTAGTTGTAAGTAGAGCCCGGATAAGTTGAATTATTATTATTAATGAAATTATTAAGCACAAAATCAATTCAAAAAGTACATGTGTAAAATGAATGGAGGCCGTCGTGTATTAGACAAACCAACGGAGTGGGATGTGAAGCCGCAGATGAAACTGGATGTCAAGTCGGAAGCGGAGTCTGCTACAAATCCGGAAGGGGATTCTCACAAAGGGCATCTGGGTCCGGGGCAGTTGCCTGCATGAGGAGTGGAGACTGACTCAAGGTGGCTGGCAAAAGTGGGCAGCGTCTCCGAGAGAGCGGATCACCGTCATCCTGCCTGATGAAGAAATCTTACCTAGGTGCAGAGCGAGATTTCTTGCATCTGGATCCCACAGAAATAATGAGTGTTTACGTTTCTGATGCGTGGTGATCCGGCCACAGAACCTAAAGGAAGAACCTAAAAACCTCGGGCGTCAACAGCATGTCTGGAATACAGGGCGTGATAGGTTGAAGCAGGCTGAGCCGCCGGGGAGCTGTGACGGAAGCACCCTGGTCAAATAGTCCTAGCGGGTAGGCAGAAGCTACAGCGATGAGTGGCATTTGAGAACCACGGCGATGATGCAGTTCTGTAGCCCGAAAAGTGGTCGGCGAAGAGCCCGCATAGTTACATGGCACCTCTGAATGGGCCGCCCCCTGGGAACAATGGGGCATCAACCTGAGGCGTTGTAACTTCCAAGTCACGCCTGAGTGACCCACTGTGAAGTTCGTGTGACAGCTGTAGTTCATGGCATGTGACGGTTGTTGTAGCTGGCCCGGGAGGTGTGGGGCCATCCCAGTGTGTAGACATTGTTAGCCATACCGATGAATACACATCCCCCACAGTAGGCACTGGTAGTAGGGAGACCGCCAGAGGACTTCAGAGTGCGGAAACTGGGGTGAAGGAGTAAGTTTACCCCCTCCCATGTGCAGCGCCAAACAGACTGAGTCGGCACGATCCGGCGAGCAGAAGCCAGTGAGGGAATCGGGGCAGATGGTGGACCAACGGTCGGAAGGGTCGCTCGGGGATGGGGTAGGTAGCGATGCCCAGTACCTGCAGCACAGAGAAAAGAACAGCTCTTTATGCTCTGGTCAACCGTGATCAAGGGTACTGTTACGGCATAGCACACTCAATACAATCTGTAGATATGTGGAATGGATGTCAATGACCACGGGTAGTATTGTGGCACAGCACGCTCAGCCCGGTCAGTAGTTGTACTGAGTAGTCATCAGTGATCAAGAGTAATGTTGCAGCAACTGCTCGCTTAACCCGATCAATGTAGATAAGGGTCCGGGGTAGTGTTGCAGCAACTGCTTGCTCAACCCAGCCCATTCATTCCACTAGGTCTCTCCCTGGTGTGGCCGTTAATCGGGGATAAGGCAAAACTGCACCCCAAAGGAGCAGGGCAGTCCGCCAAGCCCTGCTCCACGGCCAGACCCATCCAGCGTTGGGCCAATATTAATCAAACGCATGTACCGCATTGAGAACAAAGGGCTGCCTATGAGCCCTGTTCAACGGCTATACACAACACATACCATGGTACTTGGTAGGTCACACCCAAACCTTTATATAATGCACAGAAAAAAGGGGCAGAAAGAACAAAAAATACAAAAAAAAGAAGAAAATAAGCACTCTTATCAATAGATAAAGAATCACACTTTATTCATAAATAGGAATCAAGTTAAATCACAAATGTGAAAGGTTACGGAACTGGAAACTCCAAAAATGCCACAAAGACATGTCCGTAAATGATAGGCACTGAGAAAAGAAGGACAAACATGGTGGCGGGACCACAGTGCATTGTGGAGGGTCGAGGGGCAGAATGCATAATCAAGTCTTTTTAGTGAACTGTAATAGGCACATGGGAAATTTGCATATGTAAGCTGGGCAGGGGTATGTGAACACAGGAGAGTGTAGAATTTGCCATCTGATCAAACATGTACATGTACATGGATTGAGTTCATTAGGTAACTGGTCCTTCCTGTCAATTACCACACCATGTCGACGTCTAGTGCAATACCATATTTCTGTATTGGTGCATCTTCTAACCATTAATCTATATAACTTTCAAAATATGCATTACCATTACTTTAACTGTTGAAGTCTGCATACATCTTGACTACTCTAAAGCTCTTAATTTGGCACTTGAGTAACTTACTTTACTGAGTACAGTTAAGTTCTGTCTCATCCCTCTGTGAATAAAGCAATTTCCATAGATTCAATATACCAGTGAGGTGTACATGAAAGTGATGGTCAAGATAAGTCATTTCACCAACTGTACCCATACATGTTACATTACCAATTGCATTGATGCTGTATTACATGTTTTTGAATAGTTTTCAGAAAAAAAATGTAATCAGCACTTGTGAAAATAGATACATGTGTAATAGTGGATGGCGATTAACCATTCAAGCATTGGAACACTGACTTCATACATATAGAGTATCTACAAAGATTTACTTGCATGCAGAGGTTTTTGCACTGATTTTGAACAGAAATATCTATGTCATTTCAAAATAAATTGAAGTTACTGGTACAGCTCCATATTAGTGTTGTGAAAACCCACTTCACACACACACACGTTCCGAAATTTGTATCCTTGTGGAGACATCACTTTGTGGGTGTGTGTCCTAAAACATTTGGGTGTGAAATGCTGTTTTCAAAATGCTCCCATATGAACCAGAGTTACTTTCGTGGGTTGAAATTTCAACTGAATGTCCCTATATAAAAATAATTCAAAACGCTACGGATAATTACACATTAAAAATTTCTCCTTTTCAAGTTACTGTATTTCCAAAAACCAATTTCTTTAAATCCTTGTGGAGACATTTGTCCTTTGTCTTCACAAGGCACCATATTTTCAGCACACACACACTTGTTACTAGGTTAGGGCAGGACTATTCACACTTTCAAATAAATGTATTTATGTGTATTTATAAATAAATGTACATTACTCAGACCCCAAACATTACTGGGACAAATTTTTATCTTTGGTTCCCTCTTTCCAAGAAGGATCGCCCCTTAACAAGAGAAGGCATACTGGCACATTTACACTGCATGCATTGATCTTGGACACTCCTTTAAATTTGCACAGAAAAAATGCACAGAAAATACACTGTGAAAATTCGCTACAGAGAACCAGTGGTGTAAGGGGGGCATGGTCCCCCTTCAATCGAGGCCTGTTCTTGTTTGCCTCCTTACATAAAATAGAAAACATCTGGTGATAGTCTTCCTTGGTCACTCAGTGTGACTGGACCCACTGAGAGCCCCCCAACAAAGCCCCACAAGTCCCCCCCCCACAAATTTAAAAGGCACCCTAGCTGTGCCACAGCAGATGACCACTGCAGATGACCCTAGCCCAAACTGCACCTAAAACAGTCTCCATCTTTTATACTTTTTCTGTGATAAATTAATGCACGAAAATTCCAATTCAATCTAATCCATTTTTAGTCTTTGTATCCCATGTAATAAGAAGACCACATTTTCTTGAAGAACAAAACTAGGTGTTTAAAGATGTCCGTATGTTCATTGTAAGCTTGGTCATCAATGAAACTTGGTTATTATAGTTTTCTTCCAGTTAACACGTATATCACAAATTTCCTAGAATGACACTTTAATTCGTCCCCCAACATTGTCAAGCTTAATTCCTAATTGTGATTTCCAAAACTCACAATTACATTTCATTTAAGGTGCACACAGTATGATTCAAATTTGTAGCATTCTAACTTGTCATTGTGATAAATTAACCTCCTGTGGCAGGCTCAGTGTTGTACTGAAAAAGCAAGTTGGCTTTTCCTATTCACTTAAGCACACCGATCATTAATATTCAGATAGTGCCTTCTTGGCATGAGGCCCTATATAGGGCTGGGGATTTAGACATTTTCACGTCACTCTCTGTAAAGGAACATCTCAGGAAAAGACTGAAGCCAATACTGTACAGGGTTACATAACTCAAAGAAAAGTGAAAAAAAGATTATATACATATTTCCCTAACCATGTTCTTTTATTGATGAATACAAAGAAAGGATTATTTATTGTGTACACAACCAATTGCTTGATCTTAATTGCTAATTCTCAAGCTTTTAGGCAATGAAATGATCTCAAATATAAAACACTCTATTTGTGTTTGGCTCTTTATTTACATAAAAAGAAAAGATTGTGTAATGTCTATTCCTGTGCTTCATGTTTATTTAAACACATCAAAGAAATTTGTTATAAATAGATAACATTTCTGTATATTTAGGAAAGAAATATTAACCTCAACACTTACAAATACATGTTACTGGACACATTTTGGAACTTCCTTTTGCCAGAAATGAAATGTATGACCAAGACTCTAACATAAATGAACAGAAAATGAAATCACCTTTTCAATACAATGTCAATCACTACATGAGATGAATTTCCTGCAATTAGGACAACTCAAAATGCCACAAATTTGAAGTAAACTGCTGCTTGAATGAAATCCAAATGATAAATTGAGCTCAAAAATGTTCAGAGATTAAGGTATCGTTCCAGGGAATTGTTTTCAATGTATTAATGTAACTGGGAAAACAGTGAAATAATCCATTATTCACAAATAGAATTTAAAACATGAGCTCGTTGGAGTTGTGAATACATGTATTTGGTTATGGCCCTCACTAATATGTATACTCACTGTTACACATGAGAAAATGGAGGAAAAAGAAGACCATGCACTCCTTGTCTGGAGATTACCGGCCCCATGCAATCTGTGGCTGCATCTGATTGCTTGGTGTGTTCTCTCCCAATCTGATCTGCTCCTTGTGATCAGCAGACTCAGTAGATGATCGAGATTGCCTTTTGGTACGGATAACAAGACTCAGGTCACTTCGTAGAGATGTCATGCTTGTGGTCAGCTGTTTGTTTAGGTTAGTTAGTTGCTCCTTTTGTTGTAGGATGTGCATTCTCATGGCCTCTGGGTCATTCAGGTCAACCTAGGATTCAATCAGGTAAAGAGAATTATCTTTCAGCAAAGTTCAATACCCCATCCACATAAAAAAGTCAGTAAACCCTACACAATAATTCTTTGCGAACAGATTCGAACTGAATGTCTACTATAATTTCTCTATATTTACAGTGTTTTGGAAACTTATGGTAGAAAGTGAAGTTTACTTTAACCATTTCATGCCAGAGCATTTCCCAATGTTGATGATGCTGGGCCGGCATCATTTTTTCCGTTTTCAAAATCCTTCAAAAATTCATCATTTCATTTAATGGTTGTTTATAGCAGCACGAAGTAATCTTTAGGCACTACTCTAAGTTGACAGGTGACCTTCACTGACGCCCGAGTATTTCAGCC